ACGCCGAACGCATGGGTATAAGAAGTCGGGGGGTGTAACGGCTACGCGTAAGGGGCGCGTTGAACGGCGAAATGGGGTACGGCGCGTACCCCTACGCGGGACGGTCGGTCGGGTAGATGCGAGAGTGGGCGGCGCGTCGCGGAAATCGCGAGAAGATTCTTTTGCGGGAGAATTTTGTTTATTCTCCAGCGTAAATGCAGTCTCGGCGTGCCACCGCCGAACTGCAGGTAGTAGGATGCACCGGCTGTCACGTTGGCGCGACACAAGCGGCGGGTCTCCACTTGAGAGCGGCCGGAGAGTCAGGAGAGGCTTATTTGAAGAAAAAGAGTGTCGATCGGCCCCGAGACAAACTCGGGAGAGGCAGAGTACGCTTCTACCCCAGGTGCCGACGGCAGGATGGCTCTCAGGGTGTTCGGTGGTCTCCCGGGTACTGAGATTTCTCAACAGAGGCAGAGTACGCTTCTACCTCAACTCGGGGCACCGGTCCCGGAGATCCGGATAGTTTCGGAATCGGAGACGGAGTTCTTTTCCTAGGAATCAAACTATCTTTTATACGCGCGTGATAACGGTACATCGACGCGGCAGCGGCGTTCGGCTGGTTTTGGCGGCCGTCGGGCGCGCTCGGCTTTGTGCCGTTTCGCGCGATAATGTGATAATTGTCACGCCGTTTTATCGGCTTTGTGAAAAGTAATTATGGGACACGAAACGCCTGCAGCATTGCCCGGCTGATGTTCGCCGGGCGCGGCCTTCCGACCGTTCGTCGGGACGATGGGACCCTTGTTACAAGTTTTAAAGTAATAATTTAAGAGATAACACCACTGTAACGGCCTAAAAAAGGCGTTTTTTTGACCATTTTTTTTAATGGAAAAAAGGAAATAGACTAATTATATTTGGGGAAATTAATAAGCGTGTATTTAAGTATACAATAAAAAATTTTCAGTGAAAAATTTTACAAAATAGCGGCACTAAAGCCATTCTCCCGAGGCATGTTGAATTTTAGACGCTCTGCGGCACGCAGTGTAGTTGACGTAAATTTGAATTTGGAACAAAAAAAATCATTTAATTTACATGATTTTAGCTAGAAAAATACGTAGGGGAATTTAGAAATATTGTTTTTTAGCTTCAGTAGCTAACAGAATGTTAACATGACAGGTGAAAATTTCACGTTTCCGTTTCGGATTAATGTAATTGCGGAATAAGAATAACACTTGAAAAGGGCCGCCACAATGTTGGTCGAAACGTAGTGTTCATTTACTTTTAATAAAAAAATTAGCTTGTTTTTGGTCAAAGTAATTTGTCTCAGTATTATTTTTAAATTGCCACTGGCGATCAACATTTATTTATGAATATTGTATTTTGTGTGATTGGCGAATATTTGAATAATTTTGTTCAATTTTCGACCAAAAACGGAACAGTTATTTATTAATAAATAATTTTTAAATCAACTTATCGAAAATTCCCTACATATTTCTCTTCAAAATGTTTTTTTGAAGATATGGTGAAAAATTCGAATGAAAAGTATGAAAATTGTTTGAGTTATGCTGCGTGCCAATTTCAAAAATTGTATTTCGAGAAAAACGCGTTGATAGTTTTAAAATATTATAGACATGAAAAAATGAAGAATTCTACTTTTAAAAAGTTTTTACCATTAATCTGCAATCCCAGGACCATAAAGCTACCCTTCTACGTTGGAATATTCCTCCTCAATCTCTTTCCTCGACAACAACAAATAAGTCATTAGGCAATATCTTCTCAACAGGTATCCAACCGACGCAGGTAGTCGTTTCGAAGTAGTCCGGCGCGCTCAGTAAAAAGCTCGCAATTTCAAGGAAAAATTTTTTTAAGTATTAAACTTTTTTCCCCATATTCTCCAAGATTCAAAGGATTTTTTAAGCAAAAAAAATTATCGATTATTTGAAAATTTTACAGTGGTGTTACTCCTTAATTTTAATATTATTAGGATATTATTTAACTGTGTTGTTTAAAATTATAAAAGCCTTGCGAGAATGCTAAAGCAAGGTCACAAATATATGCGCCGCCGAGTTGTTATTCCGCATATTTTCGATTCCGAGCGCGAGAAGTTGACAAAAACGCGCCTTTGTCTCGAGCCTTCGAGCCTCGCTAGCGAATCATGTTTTGGCACGCGCGTGCCACGCGTCCAAGCGAAGGATCGATCGGCTGCCGTTGCCGTCGATCCTGCGTATTTTGAAGAGAGGTCGGCCCGAAGAGCTCGGTGGAGTTTTTCGCGAGCAAAGCCTAGATAGCGAATCAAGTTTACTTTCACTTTAATTATTTTGAATAAAGTCACCCATTTAACAAACCACGAGTAATTTATCCAGATCACATCCTTCCTAATCCGTACAAACAGTCGAACCAGTAATCAAATAAATGTTTTCCGTTCTGTGAGAAAAAAAATTAATTGAAGGTTTCTGCACAGAATTGAATGGTCCTTTGAGCCGGATACTAGCAACTGAAAGACAGCGCAATGTATGGATTGATTTTTTTGTGTGACTCTCAAGAAGTGTGAAAGAAAAGGTCGTTATCAAATTCGTTGTCGCGTTCGCTCTAATCGCTCTCTAAAGTAGAATCGGGCAGACCCCGTTTCGCGTAGTGCGAGAAAAGTCTATCAACACGCGAAACGTGAAAGTGAGCTTCGCGTCGTAAAAGCAAGTGCAGTCAATCATTCGCTGTGCTGTGCGACAAGAAACGATAGTGCAATTTTGTATAACGCTGTTCTTCGCGAGTCGACAAGCGGTCGGCCGCGAATTCATTGCCGTCGGCTCCGCTGTCGCGCGCCCAGGAGCGTTACTACAGTGTGATTCAAAACTGTTACTCGTCTATGACGAGATCGTTCGCGAGTTCATTGCTGTCGATGCTACCATTACGCGTCTCGGCTAGTGTTGTGCAGTCTAAAGGAGAAATTCTCTTCGCGGTCGACGAGGACGTCTGCGCTCAAGCTGCCGTCGGAACTGCTCAAACTCCTCGGCTTACTGTGATCTCCAAAGACTGTTTCTTCGCGTGTTGCGACAAAAGGTCGCTCGCGAAATCTATACCGCCGGCTCGGTAATCCCGCGTCTCGGCATAATTAGTGCAGTCCATAACGAGACATTATATTTTCGCGTTTCGACACACGGTTGTGCGCGAATAAGTTCCCGTCGGTTTGGTAATCCCGCGCCTCGGTATACTTAGTGCGGTTTCTGAGGACAAATATATGTCTCTCGCGTTTTGATACGACATCGTTCGCGAATAAAACACCGTCGGCGTAATTGCTCGCACAATGCGTTGAATAAGTTTTCGTCGCGAACTCAAGTTCCGACGGCGCAGCTATACGCGCCTAGGAAAAACCGTGACGCTCATTCTGTGACATTTTTTTTTGTCAACAATTTTAACTCGCGGTTATAATGGCCGAGTTAAAGGTTTTACTCGCCGAGTAGAGCGAGACAATCGACACGTTGCAAAGAGTCATCGTGAATTTTAAGAAGTTAGCAAAGGCTAATATCACATTGCCCAAGACGCAAGGGCGTCTCACAAATCTGAAATCACTTTGGGTTTCCTGCCGTGGACTTTATGCCAGGATACAGCTCGTGGCTACCCCGGAGGATCGAAAAACTCTGCCGTACTTCCTCAATTCAATCAAACCCGTTGCTCCAACAAAACGTACTATCCTTTCGTTCGTAGCGAAATTGTATGACCCGCTCGGTTGGGCCGCTCCCGTCGTAATTACCGCGAAGATTCTTTTGCAAGAGCTGTGGCTTTCGCGATGCAATTGGGATACGCGCATTCCCGACGAGTTAGAACAACGATGGCATGACTTTGTCTCAGATTTTAATACAATAAATTAGAGAAAATTAGAATTAAGCGATGGACGGGTCAAAATCCAGACAATATAGCGATTTAAATCCACGAATTTGCCGACGCGTCAAATCGAGCGTATGCCGCGGTAGTATATATTCGCGTCTTTCATTCATTGTCGGATTTTACAATTAGTTTGATCGTTGCAAAAACAAAGGTCGCTCCAGTAAAAATCGTGAGCATTCCGCGACTCGAGTTAACCGCCGCCGTGCTGTTAAGTCGCCTAATAAAGTAAACGATTAATTTGTTAAACTTAATAAAAACTCCAATCTATTGCTGGACGGATTCAACAATCGCGCTGGCATGGCTACGCCAGCATCTCTCTAAGTGGACCACGTACGTGGCCAATAGGATATCGGAGGTACAAAATAATTTGCCTTCTGCAAGATGGTATCACGTGCCGTCGAGAGACAATCCCGCGGATTGTGCGTCTCGAGGCTTATCCGCGTCCAAATTAATATCACATCTTCTGTGGTGGACCGAACTACCCTGGCTTCGAGAGCCTTCCACGTCCTGGCCGATCCATGAAGTTACTGCTCCACTCTCCATGAATGCAGTATAAAGGATATCTAGCGAGCAACGAAAACCCACCGTCCTTCACGTTGAAGGGTCAGACGAGTGGGATTTGCTCTATAAATTCTCGAGTTGGACAAAGCTGATAAGAGTAACTGCTTACGTGTGTAGATTTCTCGCGTTAATTGATAAGAAAAGGAAAGTTAATTTCAAATCAACCTCGTCGCTGAGTGTCAACAAGCTTAATAAAGCGGAATTATTTTGGCTGTCGTACGTACAAAAGAAGGCTTTTGAATCCGAAATCAAAGCACTAAAGAAAAGCAACGCAGTTTCGAAGAAAAGTTCACTTAGAACTTTAACTCCATTTGTTGGCGAAGATGCAGTACTTCGCTTTGGCGGGCGGTTGAAAAATGCTGCTCTCACATACGAAGAGCAACATCCTATTTTAGTACCGCGAGGACAAGTCTCGTACCTTTTAATCGCTCAGGCTCACAAACACACTCTCCACGGTGGAGTTCAATTAGTGTTGCGTACATTCCGACAAAGATATTGGTTGCTAGGAGGTCGAAATTTAGTGAAAAATCATATAATGCAATGCGTGTATACGTTATTCAGCTAGAGTATCGAGTCAGCTGATGGGGGATTTGCCTTCTCCTCGCATGCAACCGTCGTCACCGTTTACGCATACGGGTGTGGACTACGTTGGTCCTTTTTTTATTACGCCTTTCGTTGGAAGAGGACAAAAGACACGAAAAGGTTATTACGTGGTTCTATTCGTTTGTCTCGTTATCAAGGCGATCCACGTGGAGCTAGTGGAGGATTGCTTCAGTGCTGGATTTCTTGCGTCCTTTCGGCGATTCACGAGCCGACGAGGCTTACCGTGTAAGTTATACTCTAACGGAACTAACTTTCACGGCGCTAAAAAGGAATTAAACAGCGAATTTGAGGCGCTCATGAAAGATTCGTCTCTACACGACGTTCTTGCTAACGATAAAATTGAGTGGCATTTTATCCCGTCCGCAGCTCCTCATTTCGAAGGACTTTGGGAGGCGGGCGTGAAAAACCTCAAATCGCATCTAAAGCGGATAGCCGGTTCGCGTACCCTGTCGCAGGCTGAATTCGCTACGCTCCTATGCCAGATAGAGGCATGTTTGAACTCCCGACCGATTGCGGCTCTTAGCGACGACCCGAGCGATCTGTCCGCGTTCACTCCGAGTCATTTTTTAATAGGCCGACCGATCGTTGCGGCTCTTAGCGACGACCCGAGCGATCTGTCCGCGTTCACTCCGGGTCATTTTTTAATAGGCCGACCGATCGTTGCGATACCGGAGGAATCAATACTCGCGATAAATACGAATCGACTTTCGAGATGGCAGTTCGTTCATTCGATGGTGGAACAACTCTGGCGTGCTTGGTCGCAAGACTACTTACATTCGCTGCAACAGCGATATAAGTGGTCAGAAAGATCGCCTTGTTTTCGCGTTGGCGAGCTCACGTTGTTAAAAAATCCTTTGCTCCCTCCGAGCAAATGGGAACTCGCGCGAGTCACTCGGGTCCATCCCGGATCCGACGGACTCGTTCGAGTAGTTACCGTGAGAATCGCGTTGTTCAATATTGAAACGACCAATCACGCTACTGTGTAGACTGTCAGTTCAGTGCGATAATTAAGAAAAACATTGTCATATAAAGGACTTTGTGACTTGTGATGTATTCAGTGCTTATATTTATATTGTTCCGTAAGTCGTCCTTATAATTTAGAAATATTTTGAGTTTATTTTGTATAAATGTTCGCTCTCTTAGCTCTCGCTTTATTGTTCCTATATCAGCACCGATTGTATTTGTACTTTACTTGTAGAGCGGTAAAAATATTTTCGCATTTGTTCGCATGTAAGGCGGGCGATATGTTTAAAATTATAAAAGCCTTGCGAGAATGCTAAAGCAAGGTCACAAATATATTCGCCGCCGAGTTGTTATTCCGCGTATTTTCAATTCCGAGCACGAGAAGTTGACAAAAACGCGCCTTTGTCTCGAGCCTTCGAGCCTCGCTAGCGAATCACGTTTCGGCACGCGCGTGCCACGCGTCCAAGCGAAGGATCGATCGGCTGTCGTTGCCGTCGATCCTGCGTATTTTGAAGAGAGGTCGGCCCGAAGAGCTCGGTGGAGAACGATCATCTCAAGAGCTCGGTGGAGTTTTTCGCGAGCAAAGCCTAGATAGCAAATCAAGTTTACTTTCACTTTAATTATTTTGAATAAAGTCACCCATTTAACAAACCACGAGTAATTTATCCAGATCACATCCTTCCTAATTCGTACAAACAGTCGAACCAGTAATCAAATAAATGTTTTCCGTTCTGTGAGAAAAAAAATTAATCGAAGGTTTTTGCACAGAATTGAATGTGTAGTAGAAATAATAACGAGAGCGATGATCGAGCGAGAAAGGAATGTGAAAGTCGAAGAGAATAATAAGCGAACAATACGTGTTTACGCGAGACGTAGGAAAACGAGAGCCTGCGAGAAAGTAGGGGAAAAAGTTCTAAGTACGGACAACGAAAATGGGGAGTCTTCCTCGAGCCATCGCCGAAGTAAGATTGACTAAAAATATTAAACTACGAAATATATTATTGGACTCATTAAAATCTGATCTTTCTTGCTCCTTTTAGTCATCCTTTATCACTTTATTCTTACAATAGCGTCCCAAGTTTTTTAACTAAAATTTTTTATTTTTACTAGTTCATCATACGACTATATAGATTTGCAATTTGAATTTTCCATTGGTACAAGTGTCTATTTATACTTGGCGCAATTTTTTTCTTTTTTAATATTATTACTTTTGTAGTACGATTCTACATGGGTTTGCAATGGTTAAATTTTCATAGGATTCTACATGGGTTTGCAATAATTAATTTTTATAGGATTCTACATGGGTTTGCAATGATTAATTTTTCATAGGATTCTACATGGGTTTGCATGCGTAAATTTTCACTACTGGTAAGCCCATACTAAGCGCCTTTTTTATTTTTTTACAGATAAGTTTTTAGAGTTTTTCTGTTCGAATTCAGAGGCCGAGTTCGTACTTTTCCTACAACCTTCATAGATTGTTTATTGCGCTTTAAAAGAAACAAAATGTAAAACTTTAATCAATAGCCCATATACATAAGTGTGAGTCCTTTACTATACTTAAATATGAAAGAAAAAAAGTTAAATTAAAACTTACTTGATACGAAATAGTCTGGAAAATCATAAGAATAAGTTTCATCGGCCACTTTGCCTTATAAGACCGATGAGACCATAATCTATGAACGCCAGCAGTGGATCCTATATTTGAAAATATACCAACAGCGAAGACTGTAAATTTTCATTTAATCATATTAAACATAAAATAAGCACGAAAGTCGAATGTTGGCACATTAGTTTCGATGAAATTAAATTCATCGATGGTGTGCTCAAGGCACTTTTTCGTTGATATGATACCACAAAAATAACTCTTAAATTGAGAATTGAACATTTTGATCAATTTACTTTTGAGAAATTTATCAAATTATTAATCCCCTATATTAATATGTATATATTATATGGAATTCTTATAAAGTTTATTAATTCAAAATAAACGTTTGCTAATAATTTACTATATTATTTCTATTAATGTGTGTAGTTATAAATATATTATGGAATAATAGGTTAAATAAATGAAATACGTACACCAGATGAAAGTCCAAAGTTTAATAGGATAAAAAATGGTTAAATATATTCCATAAAGGGCAGTAAAATGAATATATATGACAATAATAACATTTGCCCAAATAATTTGCCATTCAATCTTATGTGGTTTTTTCACCAGTACTTCATCATTTACAATCTTTTCAAATTTCATTATAAAATTTTTTAAATGTAATTGGATGTTAAACTGTAAAAAAATATATATTTACAATTTGTAATAATAAAGTATAAACTATATTGTATACATATGTTACACAATACGAGTATTATGCACTTATAATAAGAACCCAGACAGCAAAACATATGCATTCTGTACTCATATTGTATTCATATTCTTACAAACATAATGACAAAAATTGACAGAGATGCAGGCTCATATGCTATTCAAAACACGGTCATATTTATTTTTAAAATTTTGCAAAAAATGTCAATATGAGTACATAAATAATGCTCAAATTAATATTTGAGCTCACATTTTTCGTCAAATGTATGTAACTTGTGCTTATAATATCTCATTATAATATGATTACAAGATATACAACACATTTCAATCAAAACCAGAAGATCATGTCAATGCAATCTGATAATCAGGCATTGCTATCCGGGAATATAAAATATTATAATTTTGTCACATAATTTTACTGCCATTAATAATTCTGCAGTTATTATTTCATTTCTTTTCAAGATTATGCAATGCCTATTTAATATATAAAAAGGTACACGTATTTTTTTATACGTGCCCAATCGAAGATTTAGGGGGTGATTCACCTTTATGAAAAGATAAATTTTTTCTTTTCCAAGAGAATAATATCATCTAAACACAAAAAGAGATATAAAAAAATGTTTGAAACAAAAGTAACTCGGGTTTTTATGCACTTTATGCCTGTGCACTCCCAATTTTAAAAAATTAAAATTTTTTCGAAATCTTTCCCCGTCCAAGTATGAAAATTTATATATTTTTGTTATTAGCAAATTGTAGAAAATTTTATAACAAATTCTATGATATGGTACAAAATTGCCATACATTTTTTTTCGGAAAATAAATTTTGTTAAAAATGTGATACAAACACACATACCTCCCTTTATAAGAAACGCTCAACTGGAAGAAGTATCATAAGTGTTCGGCCAATTTAGTTTTCTTTATAATTTCTAAATAATTTAGTTTTCTTTATAAAAGAAAAAATTCATTTTTTCATAAGGGTGAATCACTCCCTAAACTTTCGATTAGGCAGGTATAAAAAAAATACGTGTACCTTAAATTTGTATACTTTATAACATATTTCAAGGAAAATCAAATCGGTGTCGGACTCTTGTGATGGTTCCCTTGTTAGTCTAATCTATGGGTTTTAAAATTTGTCGACCTATGTAATTAATCCATTGTAAATCTGAATTAAAATACACTAATCAAAAAAATTAGAGGAATGCTTAAATTTTCCTTAAAAAATAGTTAAAATTCAATCAGCTGTAACTTCGTTAAAAATAAACGAAATTCAAATTTTAAAAAAAGGTTTTATGTTTTAAATCTCTACTTTATATAAATAAACTTCCAATTTTTTAAAATTTCTGTTAGTTTGATAATTTTTACACGCAGAAAACTACGACTTGGACAAAATTAGAAATTTTCTGCCTACTTTGCCGACCTACAACGTGTGTAAAAAAAATTACAAAGTTTTTGAAGTCTTTGGTGTTAAAGCTTGAAGTTTTCTTAACAACATTGTTTTTTTAAAAATCTTTTTGCAACATCTGTTGCAAAAGTTCGATTTTCGATTGCTGTTTAGCGTGGAAAATGGCTTATTTCTCAACGATTCAATGTATGTCTTACTTTATCATACTAGTGCGAGAAAAGCATCTTTATGATTTACTTTACCGCACTAGTGCGGTAATATGAGTTACTTTTTCGCACTAGTGCGTAAAAAACCTTGTTTTTGTTTTACCATTTCTCGACTGACATAACAAACTTGAACGTAACAAAATTCATGCGAGACAAAACGTCAATTCGTTATAACCTTCATTATTCAAGAAGGATAAAATAGATAAAAGAAACGAGTGTTCACAAGACTATCTACGCCTCTAGAACTTATAGAAGCAGCTGAATCTGTCACAAAGATTTTATTACCGAAAAATTGAGAGATAAATACATTACATTTCATATTAATAATTGTCCAAATCTCACATTTCATTTTGGCGATAAAGGATCGGCAGGCGATCCAGACAAACTTCGAATTGATGTTGGAGGCCTCATGCGGTGACAACGCGAAACTCCGGTTTCAGTGTTGCCAACGCTGAGAAACCAATTCTCGGGTTTTATGTAATGGTGTATGTCCATACAGCCTTCGGCTTATGCGACAACTTCATGCGCAACGTAATTCGTTGTTTTCTGCACTTGCCATATAAGATACTATTTGATGAGTTTTAATTACTGAGTTATCGCTAATTAAATAAAAAATGAGCATGACTTTAATTGTTTATAACTTTGCTGAAAATCATTGTACCACAATTTAAAAAAAACAATGATTAAAGCTGAGACTTTGCTCTATCGATTGGAATAATTGTCAAAATTTTTGCGGAAATATGTAGTAGACTAGTTACAAATGAATGAAAATAACAAAAATTATAGATTTTTTCTATCTTTATTTTGACCTAAAAAGCAATTGTACAGTACAACAACAAAATTTGTTTTTCACGTTTTTTTCAACTTTGGAGTACCCTGAATATGACAAAAATCGGCGAATGGCTATAAAATTTTTTTCATGGTGGCCACTATGTTCTTATGGTTAAAAAGTTGTAAAATTGCTTAAGGGGATGCCGGAGGTCTACTTTTACCGGCCGAACAATTATATTTTTCCAACACCAAGAAGTTTTTATTGCGTTAATAGAATAACAAATGCTTTTCCACGATTAAAGTTAATACAATAATAAAGTACGC